ATATATATATATATATATATATATATATATATATATATATATTCAATGTACACACCGGTTGGCTTGTTAAAAATGTGGGGAATTTAATGACAGTCGAATTTGTCGTCAATCCCGGGCTATTTCGAACCCAGCTGCTACCGATCTGGTTAGAGATATAATTTGCCTATGAGTACGTAAACCCAAGGTTTCGTTCCTTTATTTTGCTTCGACACATATTTCCATAAGGGAAATTCATCGGAACCACTTTTGGGTTGCATAGTGGCCGTACCTTTTGCAATAGGAGCCTTACGATAGACACCTTAATCCGTGAGAACCTCACACTAATTCGGCTTTGTTTTTACCAGCACTCATGGTACCGAACATCTAAGTTATTAACCACTCTTCAAACCTTTCGACCAAGAGAGACTGAGGGCTCTGGTGAACATCTTATGCTGGGAAGATGGTTTTCGCTGCCAGAAACAACCGTGCTCTCTATCACTTGGTATAATTGACAGGCCCTAGAAAAGCAACGGTCAGTGATACGTTAAGTGAAAAAGTGGCTCGTTAATTCACTCCGAAAAGCCGAACGCTCCGAGGAAAAGTTTAGGTGGTCTCCTGCAAACCGCCCCTAGACACAGTGCATACTGGCGAATCGCATGTAAACCCTAATTGCCCATCGGAAGAAATAAAGTACGAAGTATCCGTACTGAAACGTGAGAAGGCATCAGGACCGAACGGTCTGTACCTAGCCCTCCTCAAAGAGGGTGGAGAATCCATTGTGACTTATCCAATAAAGCTAATTGGTGCGATGTTGAGTGGAGAGAGAGTGCCTGCAGGATGGTCGTGTCGTTAGTTATTCCTGCCTTCAAAAAGGACACGTGAACGCTGTGTGAAAACTGCCGTGGCGTCACTTGCTAGCTGTGGCATCAAGGGTGCTCCCTAGTTTTATTTTCGGAAGGTTGACTGAACAGAGAGAGAGAGGGACAGATCCGTGGAAACCAGGCTGAGTTACGTCCTGCAAGAGGATGCATCGAGCATCACCCTCTGACAGATTCTGGAACAGCAACAGTGCTTCCAGCGGCCAACAGCGATGGTCTTCCTTGATCAGAGGATGCATCATCACCCTCTGACAGATTCTGGAACAGCAACAGTGCTTCCAGCGGCCAACAGCGATGGTCTTCCTTGATCGTGGACCGTCAGTCACTATCACAGTGTCTGTGAAGCAAAGATGCTCCCTTATCAATGTTTGAATTTCCTTAAGGCGCTGTACGCCAGCTCTGGCAGACGTGTTAAAGTCTGTCGGACGCTTTTATCTGAGTTCTTTATACCAAATGGTGTCGAGCAGGGTTGTCCTCTTTCACCTTTCCTCCTCAACTTCGTCATTGATACGATTACAGAAAACCCCATACCAGCCTCTAATGCTTGTGGGGTCGGAGTGCTCCCTAGGACTCAACTCACAGATATGGGCTACGCATATGACACAGCTCTTCTTTTACTTCATACTAATGTAGTGCGGACGGCGTTAAATAATCTAAATAATTTTGTGTCACGGTTTGGCATGCGTGCTGAGGAAGTCAAAAGACTACTGGTGTCTTCGGAGCATTGCCCGAGTCTGGTGGGAACACCGGATCAGTAATGCTGAAGTACACCGGATGGTTTTCGGAAGAAGTAATTCATCCGCGATAGATGGGCTGATCACATCCGTGTGCCAGTCTATCGGCTCCCTCGGAGAGCACTTTCGGTACAACCACACGAAGGGTGGAGACTAACCAGGAGAGGTCAAACAGTGACTTGACAGCGAAGTACCAAAGCCATTACCAGCAAACTCAGCTGCGCTGGTCATTGCCTGGTCCCTGGATGGGAACTCCGGGATGGGACACATCCGTGGTTAGAGACGTTGTCAGACGTGGCCCAGTCGCACTTTTATCGGCGCTCTTTCGTCCATGCGGTTGACTTCAACGCGTAGCTGTCCTCCCAATCTCCCCAATGAAAAGTCCACTGACAGCACTTTACTTAGGCATTAAAAAACGTTCAGCTGTAGTACCCTTTAGGTGCCTAAGTGCCAACAGAAGGAAGTACGAGGGCTGGGATACTGCCAGGTTGCCCAAGCCTAGAAGTCGAGGTGCAGAGGCCGGGTTCACAACCACGGGTCTTCCGGTCAGTAAATTCGCCCTCTAACCACCGAACTTTCTAGCAATAATTATATCATTTACCGTCTCCAATGCGCAGCTATCTACCAAACAGTTCCAAATCATCGATGAGCGAAACTATGGCCGCTGTAACCACTGTACACGGTTTTTACAGCCGCTACTGCTGTTACTGCTTCGACGAAACAGTCCAATGAAGCTTAGCTTGTGTATGAAAAGCAACCCGGAGACGTACTTCCGTAGTAGGGGGATCTTGTGTTGTACTGTGAGCGAATTAAAACAGGATTGATTTCACCACCTTATTGAGACATTCGGACAGAATTATGTTATTACGTTCGCAACCCTTTTTCAGCGCTACTTGCTGGCGCATGTGGTTGTTTAGATAACCCCAGTGTTCGTTGGATTTGGCGCTACTGTGAAGCAAAACCCTACATATTGCTTGCGATGCTGCATCGGCTGCCAGTTGAAAAAAAGCAATAAATATACTTCTTATCCTGAATAGGTGGTAGCAAACGACCCTGACCCATATCCGAGAATGAGATTATGGGTTGACACATTTGAAGCTTTTCGAGTTTCCCCGTAGCTGTCCTTTCAGATTACTATTATGCGATGGCTGAGTGACGGCTTTCAAGGTCACCCTGCCCATTTGGTTGTAATGGGGAGCGTCATTCAGTGTTGTGCATTGCTATTTCGGTTTCGCCCTCACCTTTATGGTACTGTTCAACAACCACGAACTGTATTGTGCCAAATCTTAAAAACAGATGCCACCACCGAATCAGCAACCTAGCCCGGGTCAACCTTTTCCTCTATCTACTGATCGCGAAGTGTCCACTATTCCTAAAGCGGATGATCCAAATGGTGGGACGTGGATATATCCCTCCGCACAAATGTTTTGGAACGCCATGCTACGCAAAGGGTGGCGGTGGCGCGATGAGGACGTCACTCAGCAGGATATGGAGCACATCATTCGTATCCACAATGTCAACAATGAATTGGCCTGGCATGAGGTACTGAAGTGGGAGGCGTTGCATGCGAAGTGAGCACTGTGCTATCATGCATCTACTTTTGTTTTCCTAACTGGATTGTACCAATGCTCAATGCCCATGAGTTTTTATCTTGAGCTCCAAAAGGATCAAAGGTTAGTTCTTTAGGCCATGACTGTAGGGTATATTGTTCGGGCTTTTCCCTGTTGTTTGACCCTGCTTAGGCCTGGGTAACCTGGTGGCATAGCGTATCTTCAGGTCGCGTGACAGCTATTCAGGAAACGGACGCGACTAGTGGGTTGTGGCCACTCCAGATTCGTTAAAATCCTCTTCTGTCTTTGTCATAACTAGAAAACTAAACGTTGCAGCTTTAACACCCGGTTCCTGGCCATCATATCACCCAAAATAAGCATGAGGGCTAAGATACTGCCTGGTTGCCCAATCCTAGACAGGATCAGTCAAGGTGCAGAGGTTGGATTCGAACTATAAACCTTCCCATCACTAAATTCGCGATTTAACCACTGAACCATTTCGAGCTCGGTCGTCGTCATCATGTACCCAAATATCGCTTTGTATTTGTTTGAATCACGTCGTTAGCTAAGTGGCCAAAGTACCGCAGTTCATGCCAGTGAGGTAGTCACTCCGGACATGATGTTTTTCGTGGCCGTGCAGAATGGAAAGCGAGATTCATTGAGGAATTGCTTAGACGCTCGCAACGATGGATTGATGCCCTGCTTTATTTCCCTTATTAAGTCACCGCTGCCCCCCTTAGCTCATGGTCTGAGTCCTTTCAAATGTACCTGTTGTAGCCACACGATGGCCTCAAAACGATGTATAATTCTCCTCCACTCATTTTTATATCATCTCTTTTCAGTGAGTGTCGATCACCAAAACTCCGCAAGTTCGCAGGCGATGCGAAAAAGTACTCTCCTCGTGCACGAATCCGGAGTGCTCTTGGGTAGGCTCATTGCATTAATGAATACACCTGTCTACTCATAATGTTCCCTTTCGCGGTTATGTGTACGGCACCTTTTGAGTGAATCGTTTTCCCTGGTTTTCATCTCACCGTCTGGATTACCGTGGCTTGGGGTATTCAGTTTTGTGACACTTTTATACGTATCCCTTAGTGTGTCTGATGCTCGGATCCGCCCCTTTGCTCTGTAAATTAGAAGGATTAATGTTACGTTTTTCGAAACCGATTGGGTCCTCATTGTCCCAGGTCAGAGGCTTTCCTGGACTTTTAACGTGCAACTTAATGATCTCTAGGTGACCAGTTTACACAAGATGGTAGCCGCAATCTGTGGGAATCAGCACCACGGTGTTGCAATACCAGATAATGGCAAGTCATCAGTTGCAACCAGGATTTTTGAACTCAGTCACGGCACCAGAACACGATGGGTGTCACCAGCATAAAAAGATTTCTGCGTCGTCATGGTTCTCTAACCATGGAAAGCAGAGTGCTAAATATTCCTCAGTAGAAACCAAAAGATATTCACTTGTACCTTGCCTTGTACCAAAACTGAAGCGACAACCTGGAAGCTTACCGCGCTCCAAAGATTGTCAAGTTCTAAAACACGGTCGCAGAAAAAAAACATTTATTTTTTTGTTTTAGTGCCTTAATTAAACAGAGGGATGATCCATTTTACTTTCGTTATCTGCAAACTGAAGGGACCTCTCAGTTTGAGCTACTTCGCACACTCAGTGGGCGAGGGGCAGAAATCATTGTGGACAAATGTTTTCCTGAGTTTGAGGCAAGTAATCAATAACACACCATATGGGGCAGATCTCTTTTGCCAAGCCCTATACTTAGCATCTAATAAACACGACCAATGCATGTTTTTATTCCTATCTGTGCGAGATGGCTCAAGTGGTTAAAGCGTGAATTTACTGACCGGAAGGTCCGTGGTTCAAACTCGACCTATGTCTCTCGACTTATCGTGTCTAGGCTTGGGCAGCCTTGCAGTATCTCAGCCTTCGGGCTTCCTTTGGGTTGCATGGCAGCTGGGCACCGAAAGGGTGTTACAGCTGAACGATTTTTTTATCTATGCGTTAGAGAAGTTGGTCGCAAAGTTTCAGGGATGTTGTTTTTAAGTAAGATGGCGACCGTATCGGCCCCTGTTCACGTCCTACCAGATACTTGCAACGGGGAAAGCGGCCATCCCGCCAGAGTAATGCATCATTCGTTATTCTGTAAAATTTCCGCAGCCTTTTCATTGATCGATACCTTCCCTTCCCTCATGGTTATTGGTGAACGAAACCTTAGTAGCTGGAACCAACGAACCCCCGTGCATGGTTGATAGCTAGTGAACTGACTGAATGACTAACCGTTCTGCATCCCCGATGGCAGCATGGCGAACACTGTTTTAGAAGATGCATTTTATTCCACTAGGCCTAGAGGTTTCGTACAGGTATTTCATTCTTCATTGGGAAGTATGACTCGTATCCGGATTAGGTCCGGTTGCTTATTCGCGTCTACGCTTGAACAATCTGGAAATGTCTTATACCTCTTTCGGGTTGTACGACAGCTGTGAACAGTTGTTGGGTTCCACATGGTTTTGTGTCAGATGTTTCGTTTTCTTGGAAAATCACTTGAAGTTTTCAATCAATTGGAAAAGGTTTGGAACCGACTGAGAAGTCATCTTTTCAGGAAGGCTTGGTAAACAATCGGTAGTTTTTATTTGGGCAATGTTTTGCTTTTACACGAATGCTTCATCAGCCTCGTCCAGTTGATTGAAAACAACTACGGACCATGTATTCGCAAATTGTCAAGTGACTAGGTTCGATTGGCAAGGCAAGAGGCGAACTGAGAGAACCACCGCATATTCAATAAAAGATGCTTGAAGCACAACATAATCCCCACATCTTTGCTGACTAAGCTACCGGACGCGTCACTTGCTTCTGCCCGAATAGCATTCTCAGCGGCCAAGTCATTCCTCAGACAAAGGATATACTTGACTACTCGGCGTTTATCTGACTGACTGGTGTCGATTTTACCTCATCAGTGCAATCCAACTACGGCTTTATGGCCTTCCAAAAATGCATAAACCAGATGTTCCGGTAAGACCGATGGTAGACGGAATAGGTTCCCCACCGCGTGTGCTGGCCAGATTATTGGCCGGTATTTTAAAACCCCTCACCGGGAAATCTAGTACTTGCATTAAGAATTCTTTACGACGGGGCGAGATGGCCCAAGTGGTTAGAGCCCGAATTTACTGACCGGAAGATCCGTGGTTCGAGTCCGACCTCCGCCACTCGACTTCCCCTGTCTAGGCTTGGGCAACCTGGCAGTATCCCAGCCCTCGTGCTTCCTTCGGGTTGCATGGCAGCTAGGCACCGGAAGGGTGTTACAGCTGAACGCTTTCTTTCTTTCTTCTTTCTTACAACTTTGTCAACAAAGAAGTGGGAGTCACCGTTAACCAGATGACATCCTGGTAAGTTTCGATGTGAATTCGTTATATACAAATGTGCCAAAAGGGGACTCTTTAGAAATAGCCAAGCGACTGCTGTTAGCGGACACCACCCTTTCGGAACGGACACAGCTTACGGTAAATGAAATAGTGGAAGGCATAAAAGCATGTCTGAATCTCACCCACCTCGTCTTTGACTCAGTGGTTTATACTCAAGAACAAGGTCTAGCAATGGGATCTCCAATATCCCCGGTTTTGGCAAATATATTTATGGAAGAATTTGAACAGAGAGCTTTAGCCGGATTCCCACACCCACCTAAGATATTCTGGCCTTATGTAGGTGACACTCCCGTCATGATAAAACGAGACAACTATCTGAATGAACTGAGTCCACATATCAAATTTAGTATGGAGATAGAGTCAACCTCGGGTACGCTGTCCTTTTTAGACTGCATGCCACCTAAGGTCGGGGGAAACTAAAGACTAGTGTACGAGAAGCCAACCGACACTGGGGCATTTTTGAACTATTCGTCTACCCATTCGAAATCGGTATTCGCCAGTATTGCCTAATCAATTTTTAAGCGTGTAAGGGACCTGTGCTCAGAAGAAACTGATCTGACAGCTGCCCAAATTGAAGCTAACTTGATTAGGCGTCAGATGCGAAGAGTGTTGGTACCGGCAGCGAAACCCAACAGGGAATGGATCGGGACCACTGTTATTCCATATAAATCAGGGACATCGGAGGTCATTCGAAGGATTCTAAACACGACCAAAATGAGAGTAGCTTTCCAGAGGGGTAACACTGCGCTCTGCATTGGTGCAATTTAAGGATCGCCTCCCGACAAACAACGAAAGACTGTGTCCACAAAATTAAGTGTAACGACTGCACTAAGGTCTATATAGGACAAACGACCAGGGAACTTCAAACCAGAGTCGGAGCGCATAGTAGGAAAATAAACAGGCCGCCGAGAAACGCAATCGCAGTACACGCATTGGACACGAAATAGACTTAGAAGGACCAGACGGACTTAGAAGACCTAGACTTAGCCGAGGCGGTAGAAATCGCCAAGCATCCCAGTGTTAACAGAATAGAAGGCGTGGAACTGGCAAGCGTGTGGAGAACGGTCTTGGGTCAATCGAGGCAATACGTGTTGGCATGGGATTATCAGAGGGAAGAGTAGTCATCATCTGGATTCCACTTAACCTTATGCACCTCCCCTCCCCCCAGTTAAATTGTCGCAACATTCACACGCCTACGATGATCAAGGGAAATCTACCAATGGCGCCCGAGGTGAATCATCAATTCAAGCACCCTGAAGTGGAAGATTAAGGAACAAAAAGCGATCGAAACTAATTTGAAACTCATCCAACCCATCAGTCCAATATTTTGGTAGCCACACTAGCCGACAAGAGCCGTTAATTGACACTCAACACTAATCTAGTGTGATAATCTGAAGATGACTTACTGATTGATTCCCCGTCTGTCTGGCCAATTTGGTGACCTCTTCACTTGGCTTTTGTGTCAAAAGCGAAACGTTACCCAAATAAGAACTACCGATTGTTTACCAAGCTCTTATGAAACGGTAACTTCTCAATCGGTTCCAAACTTTTTCCAATTAGTTTACTAAGTGTTTTGGTTACAGTGC